GGGGGGGCTTATTGTTTTGGGGTTGCCGGGTGGCTGCTCATAAACGTGGTCACCTCATGGCTGGTATGTTGCGTTGCTGCGACAGCACAACACAGATGTTTGCCCCGAGACTGTGCCTGGCTCTTTGGGCGCCCGCCCTGAAGAGAGCAGCCACCCGGCAACCCCAAAACAATAAGCCCCCCCCAATAATAAGACCCAATCAATATTTTGTGGGGTCAAAAGAAAATGAGACCCTGTCTTATTTTCGGGGAAACACGGTAACCATCCTGGAATTGGTACTGATTCCTTAGAAACTATGGGAAGAGAGAGAAGCAAATGAACCTGTCAGCTGGAACCTGAAACCCACAAGATGTGACCATGCCAAAGACATCTCCATCTCTCCAATTACTTGATTTGACTTATATTCTTTTATTTTACAAGTAAATAGGAAATGACTGTGCTGCAAAGCACAAACACAAAGAATACTTTTTTTATTTTCAAGAATAGGACTGGATTCCCAAATACACTTGAAGTATCTTTAAAAATTCAGCATTGACAGGCCTGTGGCCCACTACTATACTTGAACTCTAATCTGCTGCTCCCCAAAATGAATTTAAAAAGCATCCAACAAGAATCAAGGAAATGATGGAGCATATTATTATAATTTAATTTTCTGGTAAAAGGGCACCATGTGACTTTCATCGCATCACAGCAATTGTTTTGTGAGAATGCCCATGTCATGTTATCAACATTTCAATTACAGTCCCCAAATATTAACCAGAAAAGCTCAAAAATATTGACCCCAAAATCCTATATCAATCTCAATGTGAGATTTTATCAATTAATAATTTTGCGGTCCAATAAATGTTTGCATTTTGTGGCAATTGTGACTCACATCCTCACCACTATGAGGAGGAATTAGGCGATATGCCATATACATTGATCTGCATTGAAAACTATTTGAAAATTAATTAATCTAGACTGAAACTGCCCACGTGCTGGAGGAGAAAGACTGTCACAACCCTGCAACAATAGTAATACAATACTAGTTTTATTTAATTTTTTCAATTTTTATTGTTTTCATTATAATCTTTGCTATAGTGGAAATATCCATAATTGCTAGGCATTGCTCTTAAGTTAGCGCTGCCCAAATAATATGTAAATGCATACAACCAAATTACATGTATTCTAGATTGATATTTGTCCAGATTAGAGATTCAAACTGGTTGAAAGAGCCAACATGATGATCACAATTCCCTTCCCCAGCTTTCAGGCCTATAATGCTACTGCATTAAACATCAGGTGGCTATGGCTAGAAGAATCTTCAGTCAAGTATTGGTAAGTTACCAGGTAAACCAGGTAATCTACAGTTACAAAGATAGATTTATCAAATAGCAAGCAGACCATAAGACAGCCTGACAAGGTGACACATTCAATAGAGAGACCAGATGCAAGATCTTTTTCTATTTCTATTTCTCCATATTAGCTAAGTCATTCAGGCAATAATGAAAGGTCCAGTAAAAACAAGTAACCACTTTGGAAGTAGCTTCTCTAGTGTTGGACTTGCCAACCAAGCCAATGCTTCTTTCAAGGTACTACACAAAGTACCGTACTTTTCGGAGTATAAGACGCACCAAGGTTTTGACTAGGCAATTTTTTTTTAAAAAGTAGGTAGGTAGAGGGATAGAGGGAAGAAAAAGAGAGAAATACAGTAGGGAGGGAGGGAGAGAGAGAGAGAGAGAGTAGTTAGGGAGGGAGGGAGGGAGATAAAGGGATAGAGAGAGATAGAGAAATACAGTAAGTAGGTAGGGGGAGAGAGAGATGTGTAGGTTGGTAGGCAGAGGGATAGAGAGAAATAGAAAGAGATAGAGAGAGAAATACAGTAGGTAGGTAGGGAGGGAGGGAGGGAGAGAGAGAAATGGGCATTTGGAAAAGGTTACATTTTTCAATATGCTGTGCAAATAATTCTGTAAGAGTTAAAATTATTATAAATATTACAATTAATTGCTATGTATAATTCACTGAGAATGCAAACAGCAGCAAATAAAAAAATGCCAATTCAATTTAAAGAGAGTTAATTTTTAGTACCATAGCCTTAACATTAAATCTATTCCAGGAGGTACAGTCCTATGTGGACCTCATTTTTTCAACCATACATATATTTAACAAACAAACAAAGATACAACAAATTTATCTTATTATTCCTAAGCGTCTTCAAATGTTTAGCAAAGAAATACTTTATCAACCACTTAAAAGTCTTCCTAAAAGAATCACCTAACACACACTAGGAAAATATCTACCTACCTAAAAACTGTAATTTTGCCCATTAATTTTTTTGTCTGTTGAAGCAAGCAAGCTTTGATGGATACTTCCTGTAAATGAAGTAGATTGGGTTATTAGAAAAGTTGTGTGAATTCACAACATTATCAAATACAGTAAGTTTTATTTTATTAAAAAAGTCAAACATCAATCTTCAAAAAAGTTAAATTTATTTCTTAAAGGAACCCTTAAAGTACAACCCAAAACACTACAACAATTTCAAAACATATGCTATCTATGAATTTGTCTTTATTAATCTCTGTTCCAAATTTAATCATCAAAGGTTAATTGTACTTTTCTTTTTCTTAAAACCTAGTTTAAAGTACTCTCAGACTTCTAAATCTGTTATTTAATACGCACTTACTGTCACTGTTAAAAAAAAAACCTTCTCCAATCTTAGTCACAGAGGAATAACTCTACATAATACATATTGCTGTTGATTTGATCAATCATAATTAATTTATAAATACATACAGTAAAGTGCAAAATATTATTTAATGCAGATAGATCTTCATGAATGATCTCAATTGAGCCAAAAAATTCTGTTGCTAAGAAAGACATTTTATAAGTGAATTTTGCCACATTTTACAATCTTTCTTGCCATAGTTGAGAAGTGAATCACTGTCTTTGTTACGATAGTAACAAATTTTTTAAGTGAAGCTGGCTTCCCTACTGATTTTGCTTGTCAGAAGGTCACAAAAGGTGATCACATGATCCTGGGCCACTGCAACTGACATAAATGAGTCAGTTGCCAAGTGTCTGAATTTTGATCACATAATCATGGGAGTGGTTAAATGCATGTGAAAAATCACATGACCATGGGGATGGTGCAATGGTTATAAAATGTGAAAAATGGTCATGTCATGTTGTTCAGTGCTGTTGTAACTTTGAATGGTCACTAAATGAAATGGATTACCTGTATTGGATAATTTACTTTCTCGTTTTTTTCCTTTTTAACTCTACATTTATGAACAATGTTAAAGACTGTACTATGCTCATTATAAATCTTAAAATGCAGCTTTTTCTTTTTCAAATATCTTCCTAGCTTAATACTTCATTTCTTAACTCATCATTTCCCAAAGCAGAGTACTTTGTTATACATCACTATCACTATTACTAATACTGTTTATTTTCCAATTCTGAACTTTTTTTCTTCAATAAAAACAGACTATGAAAATTATTTATTATGGCAGCAGCACCATATTGCTGAAACAGACAAGCATGGCTATGACAATTTTCCAAGACACTTACATAACAGATATAAAGAAGATTCATTTCTTGTTTCTTATCATTTTCTTTAATGAGGAATTGTAATTTGTGGATTTATTCCACAAACTCCCTCTATCATTCAGACAGCAGAAATAAAGTACATGGGGAAACAAATGGAAGGACATTTTAAAGTGGAAAAAATTGAAACTTTTTGTAGAGTTGAATTCTCTCTTAATTAACATATTGCTACAGCAGTTTGAATCAAGAAAGCTAAATTATAGCGATGGCTCATATAACAATGTAAATTTGAGAATTCTGAAATTAGTTAAATACCGTATTTTCACCCATATAACCCGCGGGTTATATGCGTTTTTTACATGCACAGCACCCCCCCTGCGGGGTATAAAAGTGGGCGGGGTATACGTAAAATATTTTACACAGATTAACTAAAGGGAGAGCTTGGGACCACCACTTTCCTCGCGGCAGTGGGCTGGCTCGGCGGCTCGGGCTCCTTTTCTCCCTTTTCCTGCTTGGGTTTCGGGACGCCTTCGTGAAAACCCTGCCCCTGGCTATGGGCAAAGCGACCAGGAAGAAGCAGGAGGT